TGCAGAATATAACCATGGTAACGGATTTAGACAGAAGCCAGAGGTGAATAGGCCCAGGTAGTCAAATGCTTCATTCTCCCTGTTTACATTGGTATTTTTTGTATCCATCATTTGTCTTTCCATCTTCAATCAGTGTCTGAGCTCCACCTTCACAGATTATTGTTGAGCTGAATCAGAATCAGAATACCTGAATTAGTCCCACAGAGGGGACATGTACATTGTTACAGCAGAAAAGAGCCAAAGACAGCGTAATGTTACCTAAGCATGCATAGAAAAAGTACTAATGATTAAAAAAAAAAGAAATTATAATAAAAAAAGTTACACATTTGTCAAAAATACACACCCTGTAACAGTTCTGAGGATTTAGCAGCCAGGTATATATTGTACAGTTTTTAACGGCATATATATATTGCACATAGTTGGTATTTAATAATAGATTCATTTTTTTGGTAAGCGCTTTTACAGGTGCTCAAAGTCGCTTCACAGAGATAGTGAAAAGAAAAGAACAACAAATAAATATAGTTAAAGTCAAGCAATACAACAACAATCACACATTAAAAGCCAGATTGAAGAGGTGAGTTTTTGTACGTTTTTTGAAGGTGGTGAGGTCAGTGCAGTCTCTGATGGGTAGTGGGAGTGAGTTCCAGAGGGAGGGGGCAGCGACGGAGAAGGCTCTGTCCCCCCAGGTTCGGTGCTTGATGCGATCCATTTAACAACAAGAGGTGTTATAGTCTGTGTTGTTGTGTGTGAGGGGGTCTACTAGGATGTCTGACCATTTCAGTAACAACAGTCAGTATCAGTCTGACCTTTATTAAAGTGGATTAATTGAGAATGACAATGACCCAGGACACTTGCACCACCTCCACCATGCAGTTAAGGGTCGATAGATTATCACCCTGCCAGAGAATTAATAGTGTATTCACTGAGACGCACACATACTGTAGACACACATATTGTAACCTCCTGACATCTTGCTCCAGATTCCTCCCCCAGCCTGGCTGTTCATCAGCACACTTTTTACGATACAACAAGCTGAGAGAAATGATTGAACCAATGAATGATTTATGATACTCACATAGGGATATTAATGAGCGTTGTTGGTCACCTGCAGGAGCAGAGGAGGCAGAGCAGAGGACACGAGGAGAGTAGAAGCACAGAGGAGAAGTGTGAGGAGAAGGTCCACCCACCAGCTACCCGCCTGCCGTCCTGAGAGCGCTGAGTCATGGGGAAACAGAACAGCAAGCTGCGGCCCGAGGTCCTGAACGACCTCCGGGAAAACACCGAGTTCACGGACCACGAGCTGCAGGAGTGGTACCGCGGCTTCCTCAAGGACTGTCCCACCGGACACCTGACCGTGGAGGAGTTCAAGAAGATCTATGCCAACTTTTTCCCCTACGGAGACGCCTCGAAGTTCGCCGAGCACGTCTTCCGCACGTTTGACACCAACGGGGACGCGACCATCGACTTCAGGGAGTTCATCATCGCCCTGAGCGTCACGTCTCGCGGAGGGTTGGAGCAGAAGCTGCGCTGGGCCTTCAGCATGTACGACCTGGACGGGAACGGATACATCAGCCGGGCCGAGATGCTGGAGATAGTTCAGGTGAGGATAAACTGTATTCATTGTTTGTATATTCTGTGTTTATATATCAATCTGTTGTCTAGTTTGGGTCAAGATCAGCCTTATTCTGCATCTTCTGAGATGTAAATGCAACCTGATGAGGCTCAAATTATTATTTCCACTTATGATGGGTCTTATCAGTACATTTTCAAACAAATATACAGTATATCCATAATCATTTATATTCATTCCAGGCTGAAGGCAAAGAGGTTACTTTCTACAGATTTTAATTCCAAATAAAGCTGCAACTAAGTATAACTTTAATCTATGAATCTGATAGATGTTTATTGTCTGATTTAATAGTATAGTATGTCAAAAATATGCAAAGAAAACGATAAAGTCTAGTATTTAATAATAAAACATAGTATAGTATGTCTAAAAAATAAAATAAATAAAACATAGTACAGCATGTCGAATATAGTCAAACAAACGACATGCAGTAGTATACTATGTTGGGTACTATGTTGTTTGTATCGGCAAACAAACATAGTACTGTAAAAGGTATCTCGAAATATATTCATTGATCATATTCAGTTTACTAAAACATACATACAAAAAGCCAACCTTCACATCTCAGCTGCTGAGGACTTCTTAATACATTTGCTGCTAAATGACTGAAATAATTAATCAATTATCAAAAAAGCAGTTTCCAAATATGGATTCATCCACTCAGAGCTCAGAGTCTCAGAGCTTTCTGTGTTGAGACTGTTTTAGAGGTCATTTTCTGATATGTTCAGGCTGCCCCCTCTGTTTTCTTTCTTATCTCTATGGCTATATTTACTCTCCCAATATGGTGAGCTGAGCAGCCTGCAGCCCCAAATCAATATTGGCTCAGTACGTTGTTTGTGGATACAAATGAATGTGCAAAAAACTCAAAAGCATCAGAGCTTGTGTTATCAGTGAATGCTTTCTGTTTTTCCACAAAACCTCTCTCATCCCAGACCTTAACATGATTCTGAAAAAGTGTTGAGCTGTAAAAGATACAAATAGATGCATCTGAGAAATGTTCACAGTGTCTTATTGTGAGAGCAGGATGAGCTTCAGTTGCCAAAGCAGCAGCATTACCCAGGTAGCAACAGAAAGCAGGTCAACGCTTTCAGACAGACAGATGTAACAAACGGGTCAGGTGGGAACACTTCTTTTGTATCTTCTGTTCCTAAAAGCTTCACCAGACGACACAATAAAGATGCACATAACAGCAATCGTTTCCACTCCTCTCTGTAGGCAATTTACAAGATGGTGTCATCAGTGATGAAGATGCCTGAGGATGAATCGACCCCGGAGAAAAGGACGGACAAGATCTTCAGACAGATGGACATTGACAATGATGGTAAGAATAGGAGAAGTTGATTATATTTTTTCGTAAAAATAAGTAGTAAGAAGTGAATACTTACCCAAACCGACCCTTTAAAGTTGGACATAAATATTCATACTTTTTACCCCAGTGTTTACAGGAAAAACAACATCATCAAAACAGCCTGTCTTAGTCCCTTCCTCTTCGATCACCCATCTCATGTCCATTTATAAATGTTGTTTTAATAAAATACATGGAATGATCTTTGACATGAAACAATTACCACCACAGAGCAGGTTTCAAAACAACAGGACATTTGGAAGATAGAGAACAGAGAGAGAAAGACACTGACAGAGAATAGGACGTCATGTACTGTAACAACGTGACATAACATGACTCAGCAGATAATTAACAGCCTTTTGTATCTCTGCCTGCTGAGCCAGCTCGACGTCAGAGGCTTGATATTTAGTGTGAAAAGGTGATGCTGCAGCCATGTGCTGTGGACTTAACCATTTCACAAGCTGTAAGATATTTAGAGCCACTCCTCTGACATTGGGCAGTGTGTGTTGAAGCAGGAGGTTCAGGAAGTCTGGAGGTCAAACTGTGTGTCTGAAGTTTAATAAGATCAGCAGACCAGGCCTGGGGGCACAGCTGCAGCCGACACGCCTTCCTAATGCATTTACACAGATGCTGTGTGACGGAGAGCGGTATTTATTTTAAACTAATCACGGTCAACTGTTGCATTTTATCTTTGTGGTCGAACACTCAAACAAATGATGCAATATTGCAATATGCTGACTATTGGTCGGTGGAACACACTACCAATATACAAGATATACTGTTCAAAATTAAAATAGTGCAAGAAAATTGTTACTATTAAACCATTTAATTTTGAGTTACTATGCCGGGTTTTTGTAGTTATTAATTCATTTCTATCTTTATTTGTGTTGCTTCCAAAGAATATTTAGTTACCCCCTGTTTATAATCTAATCTAAAAATCCATATAATATGATAATATTTCTAATTAATAATATTATAGTTTTTATTTCTATTGGAATTTTTTTGCTATAATTTGATACAAATAATTAAAAATGTGTCATGATCTTACAAAGTGAGTTGGAACCAGTAATATTGATATATAAAATAAAATACAAGATGTTGCCAATTCCTATTTTTCTCAAATCAGTGCTGATAATCAGTGCACCGTAACATACCCTGAATTATAAGACTCAGCTGCAGGTTGATTTGTCAGCTATACATGGCTCAATTTTTCAGTCGTAACATGTCACTGCAAGTTCATTGTTATTTATTTTCTAAGTGTAGCACACTTTGCCTTTGCTGTTATCTGGGGCAGCAGAGAATATGTTGAAGGCACCGACACCTGAAATAACCATCAGAGATTTTCCTGCAGGTGTTGGAGGCTTTTTTCTGTGTGACTCACCCGTCCATCACACGCTCCACTGCCTGCGACTGAATCCTTTATTCTGGGTCTCTGCTTCACAGGTAGACTGTCTTTGGAGGAGTTCATTAAAGGTGCCAAGAGCGACCCGTCTATCGTCAGACTGCTGCAGTCGGATCAGGGAGCCTCTCGTCAGTTCTGAGGAGGAAAGAGACAATAACACACTCACACTCACAGAAACACAATCCGACCCCCTCACCAGACAATCCTTTCCTTTTTCAAACACTCCTTGTCTTATTGTTTACATGAATGAATACTTCTCTTTTGTCAATGTGGCCCCCTCTCTGTGGACTGACGTGCTTCAGTGGAGGTATTTTTCTATATCGCTTTTTCCAAAGCTCCCTTGCCTTGAAATGGCTTTTACCTGTTCTCCTTAAGTGAAGTGCCATATCATATATTTATACTGACTGGATAATATGCTTGCAAGTATTATCAATCCCATTATGTTACACCAAGAGGAAACTAATTATCACTTCTTATAATTTCAATTGTACCTGTGTTGATAAACGGCTCGTTGTTGTTCAGGATGTCACGTTGCTCTTCTGGACAACTTCTACATTTGGTATTGCATGCGCTCTGTGATGAGATTTCTGATATTGTAACAGTTTACGTGAATAAGGAGGCTGTGATTGTTTTTATCTGTTTTTATTTTTGTAACAAAAATTTTGTTTTCACACAATAAAGTCGTGTAAGAAAAATCTACACAAGAAGTCCCACGATATCCCCTTGTCCTGGAAAGACATGATGTAAAACCCAACAAGACACTCACTTACGGGTTTAAAAAACAGAAAAAAAAGATATAAGTCACATTAGGGTTGATTATTGAAGTGTTCCTTTGACAAGTCCACATTATAAAATAGGTTTTTTTAAGGGGGGCTGAGGAGGGGAGAGGGGAACAGTGTTTGAAAAAGACTTGAATGAACGACTGAAGTGCCACATTCAGAACCTCCTCCCTCCTCTCCTCAGCTGGGGGCGGCCGTTTAAATCAGCGACGTTCAGCAGGTATGTGAGGCAGGGGTCACTCCAGGGACACGACACAGCCCCCCCCCCCCCCCTCCCTCCTGGTCCTGTGTGATTGACAGATGTGAGAAACGGCAGGTGTCTCTTGTGTCTTTTCTGGAAAATTTCAGTAACTGGGCGACCGGGCCTCCCATTCGTCCACAGGAGAGAGGAGGCGGGTCGCGCAGGACCGGATCAGACCAGATTCCACCTGCCGGCCTGGATCAGGTCCCGCCCCGTTTGGGCTCATAACTCAATTTTAGACAAAAAGTCATCATCATCCAGGTCGACGTCACTGAGGTCGTAGTCGTCCTCCTCGGGAAGCTGCAGAATATAATCAAAGACAACTGTTAGCAAAGCATGGGATTAGAATTTCACTTCAAATAAAAAAAAATCCAAATTAGTAGATCTTTAAAAAGAGAAAACAACTCTTAAACTGAGACACATGGACTTTTCAAAAAGAAACCAAATGTAGAGGTTTTTGGAGAACTCCCAACTACCATATTACATAATCATGATTTATTGATATCCTGATTTGTTCTTCTGTGTGCATGAATGCAGCAAGGAGCAGGTAGAGGTAGCTAAGGCTGAAGCAGTACGCATTAAATCCCCTCTGATGTCTTTCAGGCATGACACTCGCTTTCTTGACTTTGCCGCAGGTCAGGACTATACACTGACTTTGACTGGTATTTAACTACACTGACGACTTTTCTTTAATAACATACAATCCTATGACTTTTGATGAAAGCTTCAAGCTTTCTGTCAAACAGCTGTAAACCTTTTGTCATTAGTTTTCCATCTTTGCCCATCATGTGATTTCTGGTCTGATCCACTCACCTGTCCATCTTTGCCGTCCCATGGTGCAACAGTGTGAACTTTGGGCATGGACCCATTTCCCAGAGTGGCAGTGGAGCCACGGCCCACAGAAAGCTCCCTGAAGAGAACATGAACAACATCGTTCAGCTTTGAGGCGTCATTTTATTTAGATATTTTTGTAATGCTAAAAAAAGAAAATGTACCTGAGGAACTCATGAATGCCCGTCTCACTGAAGGAGCCTCTGAGCAGAGCGAACTTCATCTTGCGTGAGTTGATGGCGGCCATGGCCGGGTAACCAAAGCCTCCGATCCCCAGAGCGGCCTCCAGCTCCATCTGAGTGCCCGCCTCCGTCCACAGCCAGCTGATAGAGAGACACAGACTATTAGCCACAGTCATAAGAGGTCATTTGTATAAACACCTGTGACTGGTCTATCATTCTTACCCCCAACTCTTCTTCTTGTACTTCTCTGCCATCTTCGTCAACACCTCCAGGTATCCGTTTCTACCTGCTGCGCCTGGTGAGATACAAACACAGAGGATGGCGAGCGAGTGAGTCAAGAATTGTTAGTAATAGATCTCAGCAGTTATTGGATTAGCTATTGAATAACACAGTATAACAATTAAACAAGTTTGAGCGGAAAAAACACAACAAATTGAGGTAATTAATCATCTTAAAGTTATGAAATGCTTGGTTTTTATTCAGTGTCAAAATCTCAAAGGTCTCCGTTGCGTTCTCTTTGGCGCCATCTATGGTGATGCGTGTTATTTGAAGGTTTATTTTTAGATCTCACTTTTACTAGTTTTTTAAGTTTGATTGTCGTCTCTTTCACTTGCAACTCTAGCAGATACTGAAAAGAAAAGACATCTAGTACGTAATACTGCAAATACAAGAGCTTTCGTCAGCGAGCCTCAATTAGGAACATGTACCTCTTTCTACAAGAGTGACTTAACAGATATTTCTTTAGGTGAATTTTAGAGCTCAGTGTGTAGAGGGTGAGAGTTGTGACAGTCTGGTCTCACCTGTGTCCAGGATGTGGGGCAGGACACCGATTACACACAGCTGACTGTCCTCACAGGTCTTCTTCAATGTGTCTTCACTGAGGATCTGAGAAAAAACATTAACATTATAAACTGATTTAGTTTAACTGATATCATGTATAGACAGACATCAAAGGGTCGAATACATATGATCCATGAGATTGTTTCCCCCTTTGAGGTGTGTTATCGTGCAACACTTCACAGATATATAATATGTATTGTTGTTTGACTGGAATGTTTAATTGCTGGTAGAATGAACTTTAGTTTAATCAACTAAGTAGCACAATATATTTAAAAAAGGGATTCTCTTGTGGTTAAAAAATGCAAAAAATATCACCTCTAGATGATTTACTTTTGCCTTTCTAGATCGCTTTTGTGAATATAGTCTAATGTCAACACTATAAACTTTCATCCACCAATGTATGACGCAAGAACGCGAGTGCACTGACCTCCAGCAGCTCAGGAGGAGGAGCGTGGTCGGAGAACAGATCCAAAGCCCTGGCGATGATGTCTCCTCGGGTGCGACCTCCCTGGTAGTCTTCGGGCTCCTCCCCTTTACGGAAGATCTTGATGGTGGGGAATCCACGGATCTACAAAATACAAGACACATATTTTTTTCCAGTGCTGCAAATAAATGCCATTGATTCAGTTGCTCATTAATAATAAACTAGAGATTCAACATTGGTAAAATACCCTTTCATTTATTTTGATGTTGCAATGATTGCTTAAACTCAAATGTTATCAGTACCTGGAACAGCATGACATGGAGCAAGAAATAAAAAAGTACAGAAAAAAAATTCTTAGGAGAATCAACAAGTTAGATTTCCTCATGCCTGATTGAAAATACATGTTCTGACTTACTGCATACCTGGTTTAATCGCTTTGTTCTCTCAGTAACAGATTTATTGTTCTTAAAGTCTATGTTTGAGTTTATATAAAAAAACAACAACACTCATTTAACTATTTAGTACCAAGATTTCAGATTAGACCATCAGGGATGATTAAAGGTCAAACCCACTCGTGCAAACAGATCTGACAGCTTGTGTAACATCACAGCATCAAGTTCAGACTAATTTGGCTATTTCATTTTAGTTGAACCTAAACCAAGGTTAAAAGCATAATTTGCAGCTGTGGCCAACGTGTATCACGAAAAAGGAGGACGTTCTAACTTTTCTTTGACTTTCATTACAGTAGTTGTCAGAACTTTGCCCCACAAGTGACTCCTCACTCACCCCGTAGCGGCCGGACACCGCCTGGTGGACGGTAGCGTCCATTGCTCCGAGACGAACTTTGCCCTTGGTCTGCTCCATCACAGCTGAGGCTGCAGCTGTCCACTCAGGCTCCAGGCTGCGGACCACATAAGAGAGCAACGCTTAAAACACACACACACACACACACACTATGATATACTAAAAAGGAATAATTCAGCAGTAAAGATTTTTTAAATTATAAATAAGATGTTTTCTTCTTTCTTAAACATCTGCTTCTGAAATGCTGCCCTCCAACGTAGAAAAAGTTCCAGAGTGGTGTCACATTAAAGAAATAAAAAACAGCTCAGATCTCAGAAACAGTTTTAATGAAGATAATAGTCTACTGAATAATACTTCCAACAGTGTTGTCAATCTGGTCCGTGGAATATCCAGATGTACTGGGCCATTTTATCCAGAAAGAAACATTGCTTAGTCTATCGAACAACGCATTTCAGTTCTTCGAGAAGCACAAACAAACCCTGATTAGCTCTGCAGTATTTGGACACCATACTCACTTTTTGCAGTGTCCACACCAGGGGGCGAAGAACTCCACCAGCCACACTTCCTCACCCTGCAGCACCATCTTGTCAAAGTTGTCATCAGTGAGCTCGACCACATCCTGCTTGCTGCCAGCACCACCACCACCACCACCACCACCACCACCGCTCTGTTGGGAGGCAGTGGAGAGTCACTCATCAATGCTGTCAGAAGTGTTTGATCTTATTCATTTTAAATAATGAGTCTGCGTCAGAAATGTCCTCCCCAGGATCCCTGCTGGAGCTCACCTGTTTGTACCCGGAGCCGCCGGACTTTCCGCTCAGCCGGTCCTTCACCAGACTGTTCAGAGCCTTCATCGCCCCGTCCACGATGGCTTGGCTAGTGCGACCCCCTGCAGAGCAAAGAGATGCAGAGCTCAGTTAATCCAACCAAACATGTATTATAGAAACTTAAAGACTTTGTTACAATAAACATTAACAAGGCCTGGGACCCCCCCTGGCAGTCTCTACTATCCACCCCATAAAAACATTAAATTAATGCACATCATGCAAACAATATCTTGTTCTTTATAATACTGTAAATCCTGCACAACCCCCTTGAACATCTGCACAGTTCTGCTCCACAATACCTCTTTTTAAATCTGCAAAGTTCTCCACTTTGAATATAGTATTTGTACGGTATTCAGTTTCTTGTATATGTGTATTTTGTGTGAAAATGTTCTTTATTTTTATTTGTTACAATAGTTTTTATAATGGCACCATATTTTGCTCCTTGTAAAAATAAACGTATTCTCTTCTGTGTTTTTGTATGCACCATTTATACCGAAGCAAATTCCTTGTATGTGTAAACCTACTTGGTAATAAACCGGATTCTGATAACTCCAACATTTAGAAAATACCCTAAAAGGCAATTACGTTTTTCGACTCATTGCCTAAGAGGAAACAGCTTTTAGCAGGGCCTGATAAGGTTACTCTAGATTTGAAGATGTAAAAAAAAAAAACGGAAGCTATTTTTTTGGTGCAGAGGTGTCGAGTGTACCTTGGTAGTCCTCTGGCTTGTTCTTATTGGCTCCGAAGACCTTGATGGTGGGGAAACCTTTGACGCCAAACTGGCTCCCCAGTGACTTGTGCTGGTCTGCATCCACGGCCCCAACCTTCACGATACCCTGAAGGATTTCAGAACAGACACGTTGGAGAGTGCAGTCTCAACTTTTAATTACAGCAAGCTTGTTATTCATTTCCTCACAGAACATTGGTGTGCTGATTCACAAACTCTGGAAGTGACGCATCGATAAACAGTAACAAGTGCCACAATCACTTATGTATGCAGGATCTGTCCACGCATACAATATTGTTTGGATAGATAAAATCTGAGGTGATAACTATGTGCGGAAAAGCACATTCCATGAAATAAACAATGAATAATATTAACTTTCAAATAAGAACAAGACTCACTAATATTTGACTACAGTCCCATATCTGCCCACGCCTCACGCCTGTTTGCTGTTATTCTCACTGCTGAGCTACAAACTTCTAAAACACTCGTAGGGGGAACAGAGCTGTGAACCTCGCAATCGGGATGCATCTTCAATGTTGTCTTTGCCGTGAGTGAAATAAACAATAATACCTCTAGCTTATCTGATACCATTATATCTTCCTTATTCAATTAGTTTTTCATGTCTGCAATCATCTAGGGAAAGTACATCGTCTAACCCATATGAGTCATATTGCTAATTGCAGTAAACAAAACGTACTGATATTTGATTTGACTGGTAAATGTCAGATGGCGTTTTGTTTACCTTGAGGGTAGTGGCAGCCTTTTTCCAGTCAGCAGTCAGACTCTGACAGTGACCACACCTGTGGTGATGAACAAGAGAAGAAAGGGGGTTGAATAACATTGATGGTTAGTGATTAATTACAATAGAAATACCAAAATAAATGACTGAATATCAACACACCCTGTATTTATATAACACATTTCACTTTCTGTTAACATGCTTAGGAAGGTAAATCTCCTGGATACTTGTTCACTTCACAATTTACTTCGCTCTTGGGATATAAAAGCATTTTATGGACCCTTTTATTGCCACTGAATAAATATGCAACATGCTTTTTCATGTTATTGACCTGGCAGATTCTTCCCATGACAGCCATGTCATCCAAATTAAATAAAAAAGGGCCACTTTTCAGAAGAAAGTCATTTTCTTTAAAGTGTGTTGTGTTCAGTGTGTGTAAGCATGTTGTCTACTTCTACCTATTGTATAACACATTGAATATTGTTTATATCCTGTGCCATTATATCCTGCACTTCGAATTACCTGAAAATAAACTTAGATGTAAATGCAATCTGACCAAATGAGGAACTACCAGTCTCCACAGATCATATGGTTAATGTTTCTATGAGGAGGAGCAACTACAATGAGTGAAAACTATGGCCCCTGTGCCACTACCAGGTTGATCTGAGGACACTTGTTGCCACTGAATATTGACCACCAAAGTTACATGGACTCACCAGGGAGCGTAAAACTCAATCAGCCACAGACTGTCACTCTGGAGCACCTCCTTGTTGAAGTTGGAGGGGTTGAGCTCAACAACATCATCACTGGCCGAGTAAAAGGCTTGGGCAGAGAGGACCAGGGAGCAGCCCAGCACTCCTGAGGACAAGGGAGACAACAAGGTTTACTTAACAATGCATGCTCAAATGTGTCCAATGGAATGGTCTTGGCACTGAAATGACATTGTAAGGCTATTATACACAGCTTATATGCAGAATGATGTAACAGCAAGTGAAATTGGCGTTTATTTATCAATTGATTCAACGATAACGCAGGCCTGGCACTGTTCTGTGCACTTAGCTATTCGAGCTAACCACAGTAGCCTAAACACCCCAGCACACCTCACGTTACAACATAAACAAAACTACTTTAATTACAGGAAATAAGTTACATGAATGCTTTCACTCACCAAGTATAAACGATCTCATGGTTAATAGCTGCTCTCTGCAAGGCTTCTGTGTTAGAAACTGCTGCCACTGCTTCCCTCAGAAAAAGTACATCGGAAAAACTCACCGTGGCCCACGCTGATTGGTCCACAGGCGGCGACGCTGAGCCTCAGCCAATCAGCGAACGCCGTGTAGTTTAAGGGGAACCGGTACGCTGAAGACAAGTGGAGGATAAAGAAGGGAGCATGTAAATTGCATCAGTGAAGATGCATTAACTAAAACAAGGATGTACCTCTTATTGTGTTACGCAAGAGTACATCATGTTTATACAGAATAGAAAGTAAAGTGATGTGTAAATTCAACATAAAAAAGGCTACTAAAAGCTACTGTTGTGTTTTCATTATTATGATTGGCAGTAATGGAACCAAAAATACAAATACAGACAGAAAGTATTGCCAGTATAATCAAATATATTGGTTGAGTATCAGATGTAAAAGTACTCACAAACAGCCCTTGTCAGTGTGGACTGGAATTTGTATTACTGATGCAACATCGTGTAACCATTATTTAATTTTGTAGAGAGGAGCTAATTTATGCCTTTAAATACTTTTGGATATGTTTTTGGATGTGTGTTTTTAAGCAATGCATAACATTTTACAAACTCATGTTCTGCAAAGTTACTTCAGCAGTTGTATAATTGCAGTAGACGTGTAGAGTAGTATAAAATTATACAATGGAAACCTTCACGTAAAGTACAAGTAGCTACCTCAAATGTGAACTCTACAGCATTACAATATTTAATGACTACTTCTCTCCTCACATTTGATAGATTCGCGGTAATACACAGTTGATTTACTAATCTTAATCCAAAAATTAAAGCTTAACTTGATGTTTTTGTTACTCTTGTCAGAAGGTTAAAACACTATAAAGACACTGACTTGACTCCACTGCATTGCAGGTTTTACTTTGGTAGTTTTTGGCTTTAAGAAGTGACAGTATTTTATAACACAAACACATCCTTTTGTTTTAATCACTTGTTAAAGGATTCCTATCATCAGTAGTTTCCACCATACTTTGAAAGCAGAACAACAGAAGTATTAAGGATACTGTATTGTGGAGGTTCTGCCACTAGGTGGAGACAGACAACACAGCAAAGTAGTGTCATGGTCTGTCTGACTGAACATTCATAATTCATTGAATGCACATGCAGAACTGGTCAGATAACTCAGAGTTCAAGTTGTTACAAATCAAATTCTGCAGTTATAATGGAGAGTAGCCTCATAAAACCTAATGAATTATTGCAAGATAATGCTAAAAAAAACAATAATACAAAAAAGAATAGCCATAATAATAATAACCCAACAACCATAATAATATCTATTCTTATTCTTATTCTTATTATTGTTATTGATGCACTATATTTACAGAGCCCATATTCTCACTAACTAAGCCTCTGTGTATTTGGAATTGTATGATTTATTTGGTGATAGCCTACAATACATTCAAAATGGATGATAGATAATGCCTCTAGGTCCGTGTATGAACAAAAACAAACTCTGGTTTTGTTTCCTATCAATCGATTACCCATAAACTTATAGTTGTAAGTCGAGCTTGGCTGGCATGGATGCCCAGCGGAGTGCGTGTCTGTGATTTTCCTGTTTGCTACTTCACAATTCTTTACTGTACATGCAGCATACATTTATAATGTGCTGCGCCTGGCTTCACTGCGCTGCGTCAATACAACCACACAGAGACATATCAACCGGAACACATGGATAGACTTAAAAATAAAAGCATGGTCTGTTTTGTTGCAATCAAAGCCTGTTGATAACAGTAAAGGCCAGATAACTCAATGTTCTTATGGCTGTGCTGAAGGTCTGTTATTTGAAGTTAGGTAAGTGATCCATGTGTGAGCTTGTACACATGCAGCAAACTAGATGAAAATAAAAATAAAGGTTTGATAATGGGAAGCGTTTTTTGAGACATCTGCTAAGTATTAAGATAGGTGAACTGATGGATGGAACAATTTAAAATATGATGGGCTCAAATTACATTAAGGAACGTTTGGAGGTGTAGCAAAAAAATAACTTAGGCAGATAGGCTTTTATTGGAAAGTTTTTCACCGGAAGTCTAGTGGTTTGATTATGGCTGACTTGACATTACGCGCACTTCAATGCCAACTTTTCAGAGCGCACAGGCGTACTGTTCTCTGTCAGACGCGGCTGTGTGGCGCTAAGAACACTTCACGCTGCAGTCACCTCTGAGCAAACATATCATTTACTCGCAGATTGGAGGGTTTTGGATGTTTTTCGCACAGCACCAGGGTTTCTGGTGACTTGTGTTTCACTTTGACAGTGCATCTCGATCACCTGGGCTGTTATTTGGTGGACTTGTTGTCAACAAAATGTGGGGGATCCAGAGGACGCGGTATGCAGACTGCAACGGATCTGAAGCCAGTGAAGAGAATGAGATTGTTGTCAACATCGGCGGTGTGAAACAGGTGTTGTTTGGGGACGTGTTGAATCGCTACCCGGACACGCGGCTGGCAGAACTGGTGGACTGTTCACTTAAGTCCCCTGAAGAAATATCCTCACTATGTGACGACTACGACCCGGACACAAGGGAATTTTATTTTGACAGAGACCCCAAAGCTTTTAAGTGTATCATTGAACTGTATTATTATGGAGAGATTCACATAAAACGAGGCATTTGTCCAATTTGTTTTATGAAGGAGATGGAGTTCTGGAAGATCGACCCTGATTTTCTGGACGACTGTTGTAAATGCCACCTGAATGAGGTAGAGGATGAACTTGCAGAGATCGCAGAGAAAGTGAGGACTATCCTGGTGGACAGAGAGGGAGATCCGTCTGCAGCTGGCTGGCAGCGCTTCCAGATGTGCCTCTGGAGGCTGATGGAGAAGCCGGAGTCCTCGCTGCCTGCGCACATAATCACCATAGTTTCTTTCATCTTCGTCCTCGTCTCCTCCGTGGTGATGTGTGTAGGGACCATCCCCGACCTGCAGGTGAAGGACTCGGAGGGTAACCTCACGGAGAACCCAACTCTGGAGGTCATCGAGACGTTGTGCATCGGCTGGTTCACTATCGAGTACATCTTGCGCCTGATCTCCGCACCAAACAAAATGAAATTTGTCCTGGCTTTCATGAACATCATAGACTTCATGGCAATCATGCCTTTCTTCGTGGTTCTCATTCTGACCTCCTTCGGCACAGGAGTAATGGAGCTGGCTAACGTGCAGCAAGCGGTGCAGGCTTTACGCATAATGCGCATTGCGCGCATTTTCAAGCTGGCACGACATTCCTCCGGACTCCAGACCCTCACATCTGCTCTGAAGAGCAGCTTCAAAGAGCTCGGGCTTCTCCTCATGTACATGGGCGTGGGGGTCTTCCTTTTCTCCGCACTGGGCTACACCATGGAGCAGAGCCACCCGGAGACCTTGTTCACCAGCATCCCACAGTCCTTCTGGTGGGCTGTGATCACCATGACCACGGTGGGATATGGAGACGTCTACCCCAAGACTACTTTAGGTCGGTGCAATGCTGCCCTCAGCTTTCTGTGCGGGGTGATAGCCATAGCGCTGCCTATACACCCCATCATCAACAATTTCGTTTTGTTCTACAACAAGCAACAGGTGCTGGAGACCGCTGCCAAGCATGAGATTGAACTGATGGCTCTGCGCTCGGGCGAGGGTGAGCTGGAGGCGGCTCCCGCTGCCCATAAACATGTGTGCGGAGCCGGAGTGTGGGACCACGCCATGCGCTCCTGTCACAGCGACACACACATCCCCTTACTGAAGGATCCTAGAGGAGGGGCGGGGGTCCAGACCCCCAGCATGGACACAAGCTTTGAAAGCACAGCCGAGGCCTCTGAGTATTTCATCTCATAAACACTAAAGACTCCAAAAAAAGACTCAGCAAAACAACAACAACAAAACATCGAATGAATCATTCATATTTGACCTATTCAAACTTAACCCGCACATTTCAGGGTTAATGGTACCACGATGACTGGATTGTAAATAGCCTCGTTAAATGATAGAGCTGCAGTGTGCTCTCTAAAGGAGCGTTAATGCATTTGAGGAATTGCGCCTTAAAGGGACATAAGTGTGAGATATTGACTTTATGAGCTGTGCCTTTGCGCAGTGACTAGGGTTGGGGAATTTTGTTTGAACTGCCAGTAGACACCAATTCCCCCATGTAGGCTCCTTATATAACAACCCCATCCCCAATCCTCACACTCCTACTGAAGACTGCACTGTAGCCTATTCCTTTGTACAGATATATACTATATTGTGTATCAAAATTGATGTTTTTTTTATAATAAAGATTCTTATCTCCACCAGGAGAAAAGAGAAAAACTCTTGTATGTTTATAAGGAGGGTGTACTGGCGTGACAACAAAACTGAAGAAAAGCCTGTTGGTATATAGAGACTTATAGAGCCATAAAGATAAAGATACATTAATGGTAAACAAGATACTGGGTATAGTAAAGAATAATAAAGTATCATCTGGACAGTTTGTTTCTGTTTCAGCGGGTGATCGTAAATGTAATTTCTGTAACCGACACTGCATTAGTATGAGGTATTATATCAGATATAAAACCCATCTGCTTTGCAGGCATGATAAAAGCAGTGTCTGTGTCAGAAGCTCACATGACTCCAGGATATGAACATTACATTTTTTAGCAGCCGTCACAACTCTAATCATCCCCGGAGGTCTAGTGGAATAACTGGATCCCCAAGATATGGGCGAGGGGAAGAAGCAACAGGCTAGAGGTTAGAGAAAAAAAATATCCCAATGGTTAAATTATTAAACTTCAACCTGAGTTTTTTTCAGAGTGCAGGCTAGCCAACCTGAACGTCTGGGTGGAAAAGATGAGAATATAAATAAAAAATATCAGGAAACATTATCATCTCAAATAAAAGGTGTGAGAGTATCAATAGGCAGTGTCAGTGTGTAACATGTGTCTTAAAGGTCACCTATCATGCTATTTTTAGGCAATAGCATAGGTCTCAGATATATACAAATATATTAAAAAAACATGTCTATGAAGTGTTTTGCTCAAAATACCAAACAGATCACCCATTCTAGCCATGCCTCATATACCTCTATTTCACTTCCTGTTTCAAAAGTG